CAATTCCTTGCAAATACCTCGAGAATTAGACGTATCGAGTTTCCCTCGATAGCCACACCAATCAAAGCAACCAATGCATTAAGGCGCTCCTCGACACTTAAATCCGCGTAATCACCTTCGGTTAAACCCTGAACCCATGGATCACCCAAGTTGCTTTCATCGATTTCCGCACCTTCCAAATTAGTAGATGCTTGCTTGGAATTTGGAAGTGCATCTTGAAAAACTTTATCAGAATGTCTTAAACTGTTGGGCGGGGTTAGCACAATACCGTCACAGAGAATTTCCTTCTTTTTATTATTAGCCGAATTAGAAGTTAGCGCTCCTCTTAATTTAGTCATATAAGGTAAATCCTTGTTCATCTTCGCTTCCACACTACAATCATCAACTTCAGGTTCATCAGCATTCTCGAATTCAGAATCTTCGTCCCTTTCTCCATCATCTCCGTCATCTGCATCCTTCTCAACTTCGTCGGAGTCCGAAAACCCGCTCTGAAACGCCTGTATTCTTTCCCTCGCTGCGGCGAATATTGCATCAGCATCGACGGGATTTTTTCTGAATGGGGCACGAACACAATATGTTGAAGGAGCAGTTCTTTCGAAAAGCTTCGTATCCCGTGATAATGCAGCAGCTATAGATGCTTCGGGGGTTTTGCTGGTTGTGAGGTCTCTCAATCCAGATTTCTAAAGAAAGAATGAAATTCTATTAATCTTGTAAAATAAAGCAAAAAAAGTTTTGAAATTTACCTGAATCTTCTCTGCAACATCTAGAATTGTTAAGCCTTTGCTTCCTTCGAGGGAAAGAACATGAAAAGCTGCGAATTTGACGGTTCCAGGGGTCAAGCGATGGCGAGGCCTACGACGGTGATTGTATCCTCTTACTTGCATTAAAGCAACGGCATTTTCAGCAGCAGCACCGTTCCGCAAAGTAGAGATAATATCCTCCCCATCATTATCCTGCAATTAAAAGAAATAAGTCAAGATAAAGCAAAAACATCCAGCCAAACTAAATATAAAATTATGAGCATGTTACAACAAAAAAAAA